GACGCCGCGTGCCGGGCGCGGGTCGCCGCGCTGACACGCCGCGCCCTGGAGCCCGCCTCGGCGAGTCAGAAGGTCAGCTTGAGCTCGAGCGCCGAGGGCTTTAGGAACCCCAGAGCGACGGCTGCGTCCAAGAACTGGCGCGTGTGAGCGAGCGCGCGCGCGCGCACGGCCTTTGCACCTTGCGGCTTTGGGCAGGTGCAGGTCTTGACCGCCGTGGTTCACCGCATTGCTCGCTCATTAAAACTGTGCACGCGTGCGTCTGTGGATGCCCCGGCTTCCCTTCCGGAGTGTGTTTGGGGAGCAAAAGTGATTTTGTGCACTGCTACCTTAGACGAGTGCCTAGCATGCAGCAGGTGGCCGGTTGAATGAATGAATGAATTGACGAATATGCAGTATTCGGTGGCATTTGAAAGAGGATGGAGCTCAGACTTGTATCGCAGGAGCCCCACATCAAACAGGGCGCGCGGGGAGGGTCTCCCTACTGGCAGAAACCACCTGGAGCGCAGGTTGCCAAGGTGGTTGTTTATGTTACTACTTAAAGGAGGAGCCGACGGCAGCCGGTGGGTGGGTACCAAGACCCCGGCGCCCCGACGGACGCTGGGAGAGGCCACGTACCCACAGTGCGGGGAGTGAGACACAGACGATGGCATGACGTGCAGGGCGGCAGGAACCCTTAGCAGCCGCCTTGGGCATGCGGATGGGTGGGCACCTCTGCCAAAACATCTTGACCGCGTGCAGACGGCTTTGGCCAGGGTCTGTCTTCCCGGTCAGGGAGGAGGAGTCATCAGGGGAGGGGAGCTGGGCATGTGTATTTACGCGGCAAAACTCCACATTAAAAGGTAAAAGTGAGCCGGGCTCGGAGGCTCAGCCTGTCATCCCGCGCTTGGGGGGGCCGAGGTGAGTGGATCGCCTGAGCCCGCGGGTTCGAGACCCGCCCGGGCAACTTGGCGAGACCTCATCTCTACAATAATTCAAAAAATTAGCTGGGTGTGGTAGCGCACCTGTAGTTCCAGCTACTTGGGAGGCTGAGGCGAAAGGATTGCTGGAGCCCGGTCGAGGTTGCGGTGGCTGGGAGTGGCCACTGCACTCCAGTCTGGGCGACAGAGTGAGACTCCAACTCGAAAATAGGAAGGAAGGAAGGAAGGAAGGAAGGTAGGTCAGGAGCTACTATGTTAAGTAAGAGAAATGGCTCTAGCCTTCAAAGAGTATTCTCCAACAGAAGCTTTGTAACTGTATGGAATTACAGTATGAAATTATTCTTGAAACCAGATGCTGGGAGATGCAGCTATTTCACCCCACCAAAGGAACATTTAAATAACTCTTAAATAATCTTAAAATGACCC